TTGAGCCAGAGTCTCACTCTGTCACCCAGGCTAGAGTGCAGTGGCATGCTCACAACCACCGCAGCCTTGACATGCTGGGCTCAGGTGATCCCTTCTCCTCAACCTTCCAAGTAGCTGAAACCACAGGCACATGCCACCACGCCCAGCTAATTTTTGATTTACTGTAGAGATGAGATCTCGTCAAGTTGCCCAGGCGGGTCTCAAACCCACGGGCTCAGGTGTAAATCCCAAAGCGTGGGATTACAGGCTGAGCCACCAAGCCTGGCGTCAAATTTGCCTTCTTAATTTGTGTGTGTGTGTGTGTGTGTGTGTGTGTGTGTGGTGTGTGTGTGTGTGTGTGTGTAGGAGTCTCACTCTGTCACCCAGGCTGGAGCGTAGTGGTGTGCTCACGGCCACCACGGTCTCGACCTGCTAGGCTCAGGTGATCCTTCCACTTCAGCCTTCCAAGTAGCTAGAACTGCAGGCACGTGTCACCACACCCAGCAATTTTTAGAAAATTTATTGTAGAGACAAGGTCTCGCCAAGTTGTCCAGGCTGGTCTCGAACTCCTGGACTCAGGCAGCCTTCTCGCTTCCACTTCCCAAAGTGCTGGGATTACAGGCATGAGCCATTGTGCCCAGCCTGCCCTCTTAATTTTTAAGCAGATGTTACAGTGTTGTTAATTGTATGTCGACTGTTGTGTAACATCTCCAGAGCTTTTTTGTCTTGCTCTCTGTTCCTTGACAACAACTCCCTGTTTGCCCATCCCCCCAGCCCGCCCACAAGCACCACGATCACTATTCTTTCTGTCCCTGAGTGTGTCACTTAGATACCTCACATTAGTGGGATTTTGCAGTATTGTCTTCCTGTAACTAGCTTATTTCACTTTGCAACATGTCGTCAAGCTTCATCCAAACTGTAGTAGATGAAGGAATTCCTTCTCTTTATAGGCTGAATAATATTCCATTGGATATCACATTTTTCTTATTCGTTTATCCATTGATGGACATTTAGGTTGTTTCATATCCTGGCTACTGTGAATAACACTGCAATGAACATGAGTGTGCACATGTCTTTTTGAGATCCTGTTCCCAGATCCTTGGCATATATACCCAGAAGCAGATTGCTGGGTCATAAGGTTGTTTTATGTTAATTTTTTGAGGAATCTGCATACTGTTTCCCATAGCAGCTGCACCATTCATTTTCCAATCCCACCAACAGTGGGCAAGTGTACCAACTTTTCCGCATCCTCACCAGCACTTGTAATTTTCTGTGTTTTTTGATAGTGGCCATTTTAATGCAGTAAGGTGATATCTCACTGTGGTTTGGATTTGCACTTGCCTGATTATTGCTGATGTTGAGTGTTTTTTTATGTGCTTGTTGGCCATTTGTTCTCTATTTATTTATTTAATTTTATTTTTTGAGTTGGAGTCTCACTCTGTCGCCCAGACTGGAGTTCAGTGGCACGCTCCCGGCCACCACAGCCTCGACTTGCTGGGCTCCGGCGATCCTTCCGCCTCAGCCTTCCAAGTAGCTGGAACTACAGGCACGCGCTACCACGCTCGGTTAATTTTTTGATTTATTGTAGAGATGAGGTTTCACCAAGTTGCCCAGGCGGGTGTCAAATCCATGGGCTCAGGCAATCCACTCACCTCAGCCTCCCCAAGTGCTGGGATTACAGGCTGAGCCACCGAGCCCGGCTCCTTTGCCCATTTTAAAATTCGATTACTTATTCATTTAAAATTTGTATTTGTATTTTTAGAGACGAGGTATCTGGCTTTGTTGCCCAGGCTGTTCTCAAACTCCTGGGCTCAAGCAATCCTCCTGCCTCAGTCCTCCAAAGTGCTGGGATTACAAGCGTGAACTACCATGCCCAGCTTTGCTTATTAATACTTTTGTTACTGCGTTGTAGGTAGTTTATATATGCTGGATATCAGTCCCCCAGTCCCCACGAACCTGGGCACACGCGGAAGGGCAGCAGGTAGTGGTGTAGCTGGGGCTGGTGACGCGGCGCCTATCCCGGTGAGGTGCGGCTGATAGCACCTGCTAGATGTCATCAACCCCTGCCCCACTGAAGTCAGGATCCAGGCTGAACAGCGCCAAGGGTGCAGGGAGGGGCCACAGGGCTCAGCTCCAAGAGCCCATGCTCCTACCAAGGCGCACCTTGGCGCTTGGGAGTCCAGGATCTTGGCCTGGGTGCAACTGGGTGTCAGGTGTCACAACCTTAAGCTCTTGGGCCTGGGTTTCCCCAGCAGGAAAGAGGTAAGGATGCTGCCCTGGCTGCTGAGCTCAGCCCTGCTGTACATCTGAACCCTCACAGCTAAGTGATCCTTACCAACACCTGTTGAAAGCTTCTCTTATCTCATCTCATAGACGAAAGTCCGGCTCTGGGACTTAGGTGACTGGCCTGGGCCATGAGCCAGCAGGTACGAGGCAGAGTGGGGATTCAAACTCAGGCAGCCAGGCACCAGGCACCTCAGTGTTGGGCCTCGCCAGGGTTGGGGGAAGCAGCCTGTGTGAGGAGGAAGTGAGTTAATGTAGGCACAGCCCTCACAGTAGAGCCTGGGCCACATGGATGCTCTCTTTATCTTGCCACATCTTGGGATGAAAATGCCCAGGTTCCTTCCTGCCTCAGGGCTTTTGCACATTCTGTTCCCTATGCTTGCCATTCCCTTCCCACCTGCTTCACTTGACCATCTCCCGCTCATCCTTGAGGTGACCCAGCTTAAGCACCGCATCCTGACCCCAAACCATACCAGTGACCCCTTCTCAAGCCACTCCCTGCCCATCACCCTTGGCATCAGTTCATTTAGTGTCTGGGTGCAAAGCCTCTTTCTCCCGTGGCCTGGGGTGGCCATGGGTAGGGCAGATGTTGGCGCCCAGACAGGATCTGGCCATGAAGCAAGAACCCTGAGTCCTCTAGGCTCTCACTGTCCTCCACCCCTGTGGTTTCCCCACCGAGTCTGAACCTGCCTCCCGCCTTGCCCTGCAGGGAGTTCCCCAGGCCTCTGCTCCTGCCCTGGTGGCCTCTGCTCCCGCCTTGGTGGCCTCTGCTCCCACCCTGATGGCCTCACTCCATCACCCACACCCGGAGATGCTCCAACTCCACCTTTCTTCAAATTGGCTCCTACTATCTCAAAGGCCTCTCTTGGTTCCTACTCTTCCTCTGTCTCTCCAGCCTGTGGCAAAGGGACCCCAGGACCCTCCTGTCACCATGAAGGGCCACTCTGGGCTGTGGACACCATCTTTTGTCTCTAGATGCTCCCTCTGCCCAAAGTCCATCTCCACTCCACTCATCCAACTCCACTGGGATATTCCTAGACCCTCAAGCACGGAAAGTACCGCCACTCCAGTCCTACCTCAGAATCTACCTACCCTCTCCCAGGCTGTCTTCCTCTGTGTGGACCGGCCAGGCCTCCTTAGCAGACAGGGCCTCCCCTGTCCCCACCCTGGCATGGCACTCAGGGGACAGAGGGACAGCACATCCACTGGATCATGGCCAGATTCCACCCAAGCTTGGGTCAGTTGCCCGCTGATAAGTGACGCGATCCTGCAGGGTGGTAGGACACCTAGGCAGGGGCCACCTGCGACGGCCACCCTCCCTGGTTTGAGGACCAGAGCCCCTCTCCAGCCTCCTCCCAGGCTCCTGGGTGAGCAGGGAGATTTCTTTAGGTGGCTGCATTTTCCATGCTGCAAGGGCTGTGGAGTGGGGTGGAGTGCTCACGGCATCTGGGGATCTTGGCAAACATGGACCTGCTTTGGCAGTTCAGAGGGCCCATTGTGCCTGCCCTGCTGGACTGATTCCTTGGGGTTCAGGGACCCAGATGAGAGGCGGATGGGGTGATGCCTCCCCGACGCCACCTCACCTCTTACCAGGTTGCCACAGCTTGCCCGGTACGCACAGCTTCTCGTGAGTCAGCTGCAGCTCTGGAGCCTCTCAGGCCTGTGGACCACCCTCAACAGGGGGAAGGCGTGGTCAAGAGAGAAACATCCATCTCTGTCCTCGGTGGAACAATGCTGAGGACCCAGCTGGTTGTGTCCCAACTTCTCACAATGGTAGCCTCCTTTTTTGAGCAAATGCATCTGAGTTTCTTACTTCCCTCCCTCAGTTTTCCTATTTTCTTTGTGTCCTGGGATCACCTCCCAAATAAACCTGCACCCAGGCCCTGGTTTCAGGTCAACTGTTGGGGTGACAGTAAGCCCAAGACCGTCTGGTTTTTGTGTGACAGGGAACCCTGAGACGGGGGGCTTCAAGGGCATTTTCTCCATGACACCCCCACCACAATCTTTCCAGTCCACAGAACCCTGAAATGAATACTGTTCTTCCATCAGTTATCTTTCTCCCCGTACTAACCAGAGAGGGTTCTGTTGTTTACAACCAAAACCTAGACAGCAATTTAAGGGTTTGTGTGGGATCTTGGCCTGGACTGGGCATAAGTGAACAGGAGGGAGTTGTCCATGAAGCCACGTCAGTCCACAGAAAGCTCTGGAAGGCCTTGAACGTGCAAATATGTTTATTAGCAAATGGGACAGAGGAGACTGGAGCCTGACCCAGCAGACAGTCCCAACCCTGACCTTGGAGTGCCCGCAGTCTGGGGGTAGTGTGCCAATGCTGCCTCATAGGCTCTGGTGGCCTTGGATCAGCTGCAGGAGTGCAGGAGCCCACTGCAGAGCAAGGAGCAGCAGCAGCTGAGAGAGGTCTGGCCTGGGCACACCGCGGGACATCACCATCTGGATCCAGTGGAAGTATACACTGATGTTGGTGTAGACACCGGGCCGGTTGGGATGACCGCAGCCCATTCCCCAGCTCACGACTCCAACCTGATACCACAGTCCGTCCTTGTCACAGACCAAGGGTCCACCTGAATCACCCTGGGAAGCAGCGTAGGTGAGTCCAGCTTGGGCGGGGTGGGTGGGACAGCAGAGAGGCCAGGAGAACACATGGGCCTGCAGGGTTGGGCGGACTGGGTGCAAATCTACTCCTCCCCTGGAAGCAACCAAGCCTCAGTTTTTACATCGGCAGAGTGGGCAATGGCTTCCCAGGATTGGCAGGATGATCAAAGGTGGTACAATTTATGGAAGTAGGAAACATGTTTTACAGCTGGGTAAATAAGCACTGCAATTGTTTCCTCATGAGTAAAGGCCAAGGGTGGGTTTGTGGGGAGACATGGGGCTTGCTCTCAGACCTGGAATTGGGAAGGGGAAGATTCTCTGGTGGGGTAGAGGTACTTACCTTGCAGGTGTCTACACTGCCATCCTCAGCACCAGCACAAAACATGGAATCTTTTATCATACCACGGCCAGAGGGCAGTGCAAACAGGTAGTTACACCTGGTATTGTTGAAGATCATGACCTGAGCTTCCCGGAGCATGTAGGGAGGAGGCAGAGATGCTGGGGATAGGACAGAGAAAAACAGTATCTCCTTTGCCTTCTTAGGCAGGGGGAGGAGAGAGGGTGCATTTTATAGTGGGGCGGGGCTAGCACACCCACAGTGCCTGGAACATGGCTCTTGAGGACTCCCCAGCACCTAGTACATCATGAGTGATCAACAATATCACAGAAGAACCCAATGGATGGCCTCAGTTCCCCCTGAGACTCAGTTTCCCTATCTGTAAAATAGAGATGATAGCCCCTAACTGACCAGTGGAGAGATGCCTTAGCCAAAACATGGCAGAGGAGGGGCTAAGGTGGATGAGAATGTTCATGATTGATACACTACAGCTGCAGGATCCAGGCCAAAACCTGCCAGATTTGATGTCAGGCATGATTCTGCAGATTTAGGAAGCTGAGCAAGCTCCAGGGAAGATAAACCCAGAGACTCACATGATGGCACATTATAATCAAACTAACAAAAGACCAGGTGAGAATCTTGTAAACAGCGACAGAGAAGTAACTCATCAGGAACAAGGGATCTTCAACAAGATTAACAGCCAATTTCTTTTCTTTGAGTTGGAGTCTCACTCTGTCACCCAGACTGGAGTACAGTGGCACGCTCCCGGTCACTGCATCCTCGACCTGCTGGGCTCCGGCGATCCTGCCTCAGCCTTCCAAGCAACTGGAACTACAGATGCACACTACCACGCCCAGCTGATTTTTTAAAAATTTATTGTAGAGATGAGGTCTCGCCAAGTTGCCCGGGCAGGTCTTGAACCCATGGGCTCAGGCAATCCACTCGCCTCAGCCTCCCAAAGTGCTGAGATTACAGGCTGAGCCACCGAGTCTGGCCTTAACAGCCAATTTCTATTCAGAAACTATGGGGCCCAGAAGGCAATGGGATGGAGTATTCAAAGTGTTGAAGAAGAAAACAGTCAAAAAAGAATTTTATATCAGGCAAAATTACCCTTCAAAAAATGAAGGAAAAATTAAGACATTGACAGACACCCAAAAGCTGAGAGGGTCTGTCACTAGTAGACCTATCCTACAAGAAATGGAAAAAGGAGACCTTTAGGTTGAAATGAAAGGACACTAGACAGTAACTCAAAGTCAAAGTAGTAAAGAGCCCTGGTAAAGGTCACTACATAAGTAAACATAAAAGTCAGTATTACAGTACTTCTGGTTTATAATTTCTCTTTTTTCTACACAATTTAAAAGACAAATGCATAAAAATTGATAAACCTATGTTAATGATTATACAATGTAAACTCTGACAATAACAACATAAAATGGAGAAATACTGCTTTATAGGAACAGAAATTTTTGTATACTATTGAAGCTAAGTTGGTATAAATTAAAAATAGATTGCTATATGGTTAAGATGTTAATTATAATCTAAGAAAACAGATTATAGTCTAATTATAATCTAAGAAAATAATTAAAAAATATACAGAAAAGGAAATGAGAAGGGAATTAACATGGTAGTTAAAAACCCAATAAAACAAAATGAGGAAATGAAAAATCAATCTTGTGGAAAAATAAAAAGAAGAAAAAAATAAAGATTAAAATGTAAACATAAATATGGAAACGTATAAGACAAGATATAGAAAACAAAAACAAAATGGTAGAAGTAATTCTTTCTGAGCCAGCCTGGGTGGCTCAGCCAATAATCCCGCGCCTTGGGAGGCTGAGGTGAGTGGATTGCCTGAGCCCATGGGTTTGAGACCTGCCTGGGCAACTTGGCGAGACCTCATCTCTACAATAAATCAAAAATCAGCCGGGTGTGGTAGCGCGCGCCTATAGTTCCAGCTATATGGAAGGCTGAGGCAGAAGGATCGCCAGAGCCCAGCAGGTCGAGGCTGCGGTGGCCGGGAGTGGCCACTGCACTCCAGTCTGGGTGACAGAGTGAGACTCCAACTCAAAAAAAAGAAGTAATTATTTCTGAATCAGTAATTACTTTCTCTTTTTTTTTTTTTGAGTAGAGGTCTTACTCTATCCCCCAGACTGGGGCGCAGTGGCATGATCATGGCTCACTACAGCCTTGACCTCCTGGGCTCAGGCAGTCTCCTGCCTCAGCCTCCTGAGTAGCTGGAACTACAGGCATGTGCCACCACACCCAGCTAATTTTTAAATTTTTTTTTTTTTGTGGAGACAAGGTCTTGCTATGTTGCCCAGGCTGATCTAGAACTCCTGGGCTCAATGAATATTCCCGCCTCAGTCTCCCAAAGAGCTGGGATTATAGGCATGAGCCACCACACCTGGCCAGTAATTACTTTTAATGCAAATAGCTTAAATGACTCAATAAAAAAGCAAAGATTGGCAAAACAGTTTTAAAAAAAGGGGGCCAACTATATGCTGTCTACAAGAGACTCACTTTAGAGCCAGAGAAATACACAGACTGAAAGTGAAAGGTAAACTGGACTCAGTGGCTCAGCCTGTAATCCCAGCGCTTTGGGAGGCAGAGGAGAGTGGATTGCCTGAGCCCGTGGGTTCGAGATCCGCCTGGGCAACTTGACGAGACTTCATCTCTACAATAAAATTTTAAAAAATTAGCTGGGCGTGGTAATGCACACCTGTAGTTCCAGCTACTTGGATGGCTGAGGCGGAAGGATTGCCGGAGCCCAGCAGGTCAAGGCTGCGGTGGCCGGGAGCAACCACTGCACTCCAGTCTGGGTGACAGAGTGAGACTCCAACTCAAAAAAAAAAAAAGAAAAAAAGAAAGTGAAAGGTGGGTAAAAGAAATTCCATGCAAATAGTAACCAACAGAGAGCTGAGGTTGTTATACTAATATCAGACAAAATAGACTTTAGTCAAAACTTGTTATAAGAGTCAAAGGACATTATATATTGACAAGGGAAATTATCAAGAAAAAGTAGCAATCACAGACATCTAGGTACCTAATAACGGAGCCCCAAATACAAGAAGTTACATTGGCAGAATTAGTGGAAGAAATGGGCAGTTCCACAATAATAGTGGGAGACTTCAGTACCCCACTTTTAATAAAGGATAGAGAAGATCAATAATAAAACAGATGTCTGGAATAACACTATGAATCAGCGATTCCTAACAGACATATACAGAATAGTCGACATAAACAGCAGCAGAATGCACATTCTTCTGAAACGCATATGGAATATTAACCAAAGTAGACCACATACCAGGTCATAAAATAAGTCACAGTAAAATGTGAAAGACAGAATTCATACAAAATGTCTTCACTGACCACAATTAAATGAGATTAGAAATCAATAACAACAACAAAAAAGAAATCAATAACAGAAAAAAAACTGAAAAATTACAAACATGTGGAAATGAAACAACACACTCTTAAATGATAAATAGGTCAAATAATACATTACAGGAAAATTAGAAAACAATTTGAAATGAATAAAAATGAAAACACAACAGACCAAAACTTATGCGGTGCAGCAAAGCAGTTCTCAGAAGGAAATTTTAGCTGTAAATACCTATATTTATAAAGAAAGAGAATCTCAAATCAAAACCCAACTTTACATCTTAAGAAACTAGAAAAAGAAAAGCAAACTAAACACAAAGTAGCAAAAAGAAGCAAATAATAAAAAGTAGAATGAAGAAAAACAAGCTAACAGGTAGAAAACAATAGAGAAAAATCAATAAAACTGAAAGTTGTTTCTTTGAAAGATCAATAAAATTGACAATGAAAGTGTGGACAGTATTTTTTTTTTCTTTTCTTTTTTTGAGTTGGAGCCTTGCTCTGTCACCCAGACTGGAGTGCAGTGGCACACTCTCAGCCACCGCAGCCTTAACCTACTGGGCTCCGGCGATCCTTCCGCCTCAGCCTTCTAAGTAGCTGGAACTACAGGCGCTCGCTACCACGTCCGGCTAATTTTTGATTTTTTGTAGAGATGAGGTCTCGCCAAGTTGCCCAGGCAGGTCTCGAACCCACGGGTTCAGGCAATCCACTCACCTCAGCCTCCTAAGGCGCGGGATTACAGGCTGAGCCACCAAGCCCGGCACAAATCAGATAATTTAGGGGAAATGGGAAAATCCCTAGAGACACACAAACTACCAAACTGATTTGAGAAGAAACAGAAAATCTGAACAGATCTGTAAGTAAAGAGATTGAATCAGAAATTTTAAAACTCTCCCAACAAAGAAAAGCTCAGAACTAGATGGCTTCACTGGTGAATTCTACCAAAATATGAAGAATTAACACCAATCCTTTCTTAATTCATCCTAAAAATAGAAGCGAGGGAAAACTTCCTAACTCATTCCATGAGGCCAGCATTACCCTGATACCAAAACCAGTCAAAACATCACAAAAATATCCTTTATGTATATATGTGCAAAAAATCCCCAAAAGAATACCAGCAAACTGAGTTCAGCAGCATGTTAAGGGGACTTTATACCATGATGTAAAATTTACCCCATGAGGGCAATGTGCTTCAATAGAATACGATCTTAATAGAACAAAGGAAAAACCATATGGCCATCCCAACTGATGCAGAAAAAGCATTAAACAAAACTCAACATCCTTTCATGAGAAAAACACTCAACACACTAGGAATAGAATGAAACTACCTCAACATAATAAAAGGCCAGATGGGAAAAGTCCATAGCTAAAATCATACTTAACAACGAAAAACTGAAAGTTTTTCCTCTCAGATCTGGAACAAGGTGAATTTACCATTTCTAATCAACATAGGACTGGATGTTCTAACCAGAGCAATTAGGCAAGAAATAAAAGGCACCCAAATCAGAAACGAAGAAGTAAAATTACCATTGTTTGCAGATGACATGATCATTTATTTTTATTTTATAGAGACAGGGTCTCATGATGTTGCTCAGGCTGGTTTCAAGTGATCTTCTCCCCTCAACCTCCCAAAATTCTGGGATTATAGGTGTGAGCTACCAGACCCAGCTAATGTGATCTTATATGCAGAAATCCCTAAAGATTCCACAAAAACTGTTAGAACTAATAAATTCAGCAATTTCAGGATACAAAGTCAATATTTTAAAAAAAGTTGTAGCCAGATTCGGTGGCTCAGCCTGTAATCCCACGCCTTTGGGAGGCTGAGGTGAGTGGATTGCCTGAGCCCGCGGGTTCGAGACCCGCCTGGGCAGCGAGACCTCATCTCTACAATAAATAAAAAAAATCAGCCGGGCGTGGTAGCGCATGCTTGTAATTCCGGCTACTTGGAAGGCTGAGGTGGAAGGATCGCCGGAGCCCAGCAGGTCGAGGCTGCGGTGGCCGGGAGCGGCCACTGCACTCCAGTCTGGGTGACAGAGTGAGACTCCAACTCAAAAAAAAAAGTTGTGTTTCTATTAACTAGCAATGAACAATCCAAAAACAAAATTAAGAAAACACTCCATTTATAACAGCATCAAAGAGAATAAGACCGGAACAAGTTTAATTGAGGAGGTACAAGACTTGTACTCAAAAAACATAGTATGTTGCTGAAAATAATTAAAGAACTAAATAACTGTAAACACATATGTGTTCATGATTGGAGACTTAATAAAATGGTGATGCTCCCAAAATCAATCTATCTGATAAAACCCCTATCAAACATCAATGGCTTTTTTCACAGATATTGACAAGCTAATTCTAAAATTGTTATAAAATATTAAGGGGCCCTATGTAACCAAAACAATATTGAGATGTAGAACAAAGTTGAAAGACTTATACTTTCTGATTTCAAAACATACTGTAAAGTTACAGGAATTAAACAATGTGGTCTTGGCATAAGGACAGAAATACAGACCAATGAAATAGAATTGTGAGTCTAGAAATAAACTCATACATCTATGGTCAGTCAACTTTGGACAAGGATACAAGACATTTCAGTGTAAAAGAGAATAGTCTGTTCAACAAATTGTGCTTGGACAGTTAGATATCAACATGCAGAGGATGAAGTTGGAATTCTACACCTCACTTTGTCTACAAAAATAAACTCAGAGTGAATCAAGACATAAATGTAAGAGCCAAAACACTAAAACTCTTCAAGGAAAACATAGGGTAAATCTTCACGACATGGGACTTGGCAATGATTTCTTAGACATACCAAAAACACAAGCAACAAAGAAGAAATAATTTAGACTTTCAAAATTAAGAACTTTTGTACAAGAAAGGAGACTGGCAGGAAAGAGAAAAAAAAACTACAGAATGCGAGAAATTATTTGCAAATCATATATGTGATAAGGGTCTAGTGTCCAGAATACATAAGAATGATTACAACTCAACAACAAAAAGACAATTCAGTCTAAAAATGGGCAAAGGACTTGGGTAGGTTTTTCTCCAAGGAATATACACAAATGGCCAACAAGCACATGAAAAATGGTCAGCATAATTTATCATCAGGAAAATGCAAATAAAACCACAATGAGATACCACTTTACACCCACTAGGATGACCACAGTTTAAAAATTGTAAAATAAGTATTGATGAGAACAGGGAAAAATAATGACCCTCACAGCTATGAACACTGTTTAGTGGATCCTCAAAAAGATAAACATAGAATTACCATACGACCAGCAACTGCACTTCTACATATATACCTAAAATAATTGAAAAGAGTTGTTTCAACATAAACTTGTATACTAATGTTCACAGTAACTTTATTCACAATTGTCAAAAGGTAGAAACTACCCAGTTGTCCATCAATGGAAGAAAGAATAAACAAGTTTTGGTATATCTATACAATAGAATATTATGCAGCCACAAAAAGAAGTGAGGTTCTTCTACATGCTGCGATGTGGATGAACCTTTAAGATGCTATGTTATAGCCAGGCTTGGTGGCTCAGCCTGAAATCCCGCGCCTTTGGGAGGCTGAGGTGAGTGAATTGCCTGAGCCCGCGGGTTCGAGACCCGCCTAGGCAACTTGGCGAGACCTCATCTCTACAATAAACCAAAAAAATTAGCCGGGC